ATTCCGACAATAGGCACAATCTGCAATTCCGGATACACAGACACACAGATAGACAACGAAATCGGAAAATTTCAAAATTCGCTTCAGTGAAAAAATCAATTCCCGTAAAAGTGGGCGGAGTCAAGGGGTGGAACCTAAATTACAAGTTTCGCACAGTTCTTTCAGCACATTTTCTTGCAAATTAGGCTCCGTCCCTGACTCCGCGCACTTTTCACGGAAAGTTTGAAAATTTGAAAATTTCGAATTTGGCGCCAAAACATATTCTTGTGAAAATCTGAAATCCCGGACACACAGACAGACAACAGAAAATCTAAACATTTCTTTTTTTTAATTTTCGAATTTATAATCTTTCAAAAATTCAGAATTTTCAAATTTAGAATTTTTCAAAATTTCGAATTTTAGAAAATTTTCAATAATTTTCAAATCCTTTAATTCCAGGCCGACGGACAAGACGAGCTGAAACGTCAACAACTGATGGTGCTTGCCAATCTGAACGGCACGTACCGCCCACGCACCGCCACACCCAGCATCCCATCACTGCAATTCACCGGCGCCGGTGACTATGGACATCCGTTCCAAAGTTAGTAAAAATCCGTTTTACCCTTTTTATCCCCTCCCCAACTACCTCGTGTAAATTTTATCTTGTTCTAATATTTCTGTTCCCCCTCCATATCCTTGTATCAAATTTATATAAAATAAACTCCCTCAAATAAAAATTCATAAAAATCGAATTTTTCCTTTTTTGCAGACTTGCTCCCATACGGCTATCGTCTGCCAGTGCAAAAAAGCAGCAGCTACGGTGCTCATGACTCCTCTGCCAAACAAGACTGCTACAATCCAAAATGTGCACTTTTGAGAGGTCTTATTGAGCAGAATCATCATCAGCAAAGCGGTCCGATCCCGTTAGTATTGATTCTTTGGGAATTTTAAAAAATATCGATTTTTCAAGAATTTTTGAAACAAATATATCGATTTTTCCGGAATTTTTGAAAAATATCGATTTTATCTTGAATTTTCGAAAAAATGATTATTGATTTTTTGCATTCCAGAAAAGTAGAAGACGTGCTCAGTGTGATGCACATGTACGAGCTGATGAATCGCATTCGCATCGCCAACTCCTCGCTCACTGGAAACCAATCCAAAGCCCAGGAGATCGGAAATCGCATGTGTGCATCGATCGGAGTCCGATCCCCATCAGCCACCTCTTCTTCTACAACTTCTCCTCTTACTCGTCGCCAATACAAGCCCCGCCCACAATCATCGTCTAACAACCAGAATCATTGAGAAAATGTAGAAAAAAGCACTTTTTTCATTTCCCTAACGAACTTTTTTTGTTCCCTAACGAATTTTTTATTCTTCTTCTTGTTAAATTATTGATTATGTCCCCCCAACAACCTGATCTCCCTTATTCCCGCCCGTTTTTTGTTCAAATTTCTATCCGAAATCCGACACACGACTTCTCCGTTTTCGTTCACAAACGTTTTAGGCTCAAAGCCAATTTTGAATAAAAGAGCCCGCTGAGCTCGTTGTTTTAAACATAAATTTATTTTTTTTTTGCTTTTTGTGAATTTATATGGCAGAAGTGCGGAATCGCAAGAAAAATAGCCTGTCGGATTCTAGTGATTCCGATGGAGAATTCCAAGAAATCATCAAAGACATCGAACAGGATCACTGGAAAGACGGTGTGGCCGATGAGACGAGATGGGCGTGAGTTTTTGGGCGGGAATTTGAAATTTCGGTTCAACAATTGGAAAAATCAAATTTTTGAAAGAAAAAACTTCCAGAAATCCATGAAAAATTGAAAAAAAAACCAGGAAATTTCGAATATTTCAAAATTTTTTGTCGGAAATTGTCGCTGTTTCGAAAAAAAAATTCTAAAATTTTGTAATTTATCTGGAAAAAAGATAAAAAACCGAAAAAAATCCACAATTTCGAGAAAAAAAATTCAAAAAATCGAACTTTTTCTGCAAAAAAAATTTAAAAAGTCGTTTTTTTTAAATTCGAAAAATCCGAATTTTTACTACAGGGACGGAATTTCACAAACGAAACTGCTCATTTCGGTGGAGCGCAATCCCGCCCACCTCTATTTTTTCACTTTTTTCCCTGAAAATGTTCAGAATGTTCCGTGTTTTTTGTTCATACAAAGGCTTAGAATGAAACTTCTTGTCGTAAAAAGGTGTTTTAGCCTAAGCCTAAAATATAGAACAAAAAACCGAATATTCTGAAAACTTTGCAGTGAAAAAAGTGTAAAATTTGCTAATATTTGGGAATTTAAAGACTTTTTGATTGGAGTTTTCAGATTATTTTGCTTTTTTGTTTGAAATTTGAGGCTTAGGTTTTAACACCCTGTTTTTTTTCTAATGAGAAATCTGTAAGGTTGTGCCGATGCGATGGTCGATTTTCCGAAACAAAGTATCGTTTGATCGAAAAAATGAAAAAAAGGCAATTACTCTTTGACTACACCACTCTTTGACTACACCTACTCTTTGACTACATTTATCTCTTTGACTACACTTGTCTCTTTGACTACACTTTTTTGTTTTATAGTACTTTTTGACTGAATTTATTGGAGCTTCCGTTTTTTGTCTCATATTATAGGCTTAGGCTAAAACACCAGTTTTCCGATAACCGTTTCAGCCAAAGCCTTTGATTTGTACAGAAAATAATAAAATTTTGGAAATCTCAGCGAAAAAAGTGAGAATTTTGCTGATTTTCGCGAATTTCAGTACTTTTTTCACTGTTATGTATTTTTAGAATTGTCAGTTTTTTGTTTAAAATTATAGGCTTAGGCTCAAATTCTTCTTATATTCTGTGAGAACGCCCACAAAAACTGCAGAAAATTAAAAAATTTTTTAAAGTGTAGTCAAAGAGACAAATGTAGTCAAAGAGATTTTGTAGTCAATGAGAATGTGGAGTCAAAGAGTGGTGTAGTCAAAGAGTAATTGCCAAAAAAAAACCGGGGGAAAGT